AATATGAGAAAAAAATATCCAAAATTTCATCTGGACATAACCAAATTTTACTCAAATTCTGTGTGAAGAGAATCGTCACATTCATCAAAAAATCGTAATGCACATCAAATCACTGATAAGAATATAAGGCGATAATAACCACATTAACAATTTCATCAACAAATTCAACTGCAAACGGAAATGACCACAAAAGAATCGAACCAGTTTCATTTGTTCTTCCATTGATTTCGCGTCTCGAATACTCTGAATGCGTTTCTCGATTCGTGTCGATCCACCCTCTTTGACTGAATAAAACATCGGTCCGAGTTCAGCTAGCCATATCGCATCAACAGCCGTCACACTTTGCATGTACTCCTTTGCAGTCATCACAAGTTCATGATACACCACATAGTCAGGCATATAGCCCATTCCTTAAATTGAAGCAATTGTATTATTATCATTATTGTGACTATTACTATTAGCGTTATCGTTACACTCATTACTGTGATCATATAGAATATAACAAAGTATTTTCACTTCATAAAAAAGTTGAGAAAATTGCGAATTAAACAGAAACAAAGGCGTATGAATTCAACAAGTTTCCAAGTGAAACAGAAGACACAACATCATTTATGAATCAGTGTCCATGAGAAATAACTGAAGAAAAAGTGAACTAAATGATTAAAAACAAACCAAAAAGAGCAGAAGTTGGATGCAGAAAACACGGAATACCAGTTCTCACGTTCACATACTCGCCGATACCTTTCAATCTGAAAAACCCAGATCAGCGAAGTGTCAATCGTGCCATAAACATGCACAAAATCCCAGTGATCCATTACCATCCATAGTCCAACAAAATTAACTACTATCAACTGAATCCTCCAATTAAACATTGAGAAAAAAATGAATTCTCCACGACCAATGAAGAAAAACAAAAATGAAAACATAAGAAAATGCCAAAAAAACGAACCTCGCAGCGTTATGGAAATACGCTGAACAAATACATTTTCGAATGATGTCCCATTCTGTACCACACGAT